CAATGCTTGCTACGTTTCAAATATTTATTGCATTCAACAAAATATAAGCCGCTGTAACGTGTCACTGATCGATGCTCCTCAATTTCGTTTTGAGTCGTATTTCTCCAAAATATGATATTAGTTATTATATAGTTTCTAATATATGTATATGGCCTATTCGTACATCTTTATGATTGAATTTATACGCGCATATTTAGTTTTTCGACAGAGCACTTCAAGTCAACAGTTGGAATATACAGAACTTCTTGAAACTGAATTGCGTATCTAAACATATGCATCTCACATTAGAAATACAATTTTTAATTACTCCCTTTCCCTTTCTACATGAAAATATAGGAATAAATAAAGATAGCTGTTTACAACAGCATGTAACGACACTTTTTCTTTCACTTTCACAAAGAAAGTGATAATATCCAGACTTACTGGGAAAAATTAAGTAGTAAATAGAGATAACTTTTCTGGGGTATGATCGAAATACTTGTTTGTGTACACCAATATTTCCTTATATACAACAAATGGTGCTACTATTGAGCACTTTAATGCAGTGTTAAATCCCATTTATTTTTAACTTGCTGTGATGTATAAAAGCTTCTAGGAAATTCAGTTAAATGGTAATATAAACGTTTTTAAATAATGTTAATATAATTTATTGGACAAAATCAGTATAACTTGTAGCTTCTTCATTATACTGTTTGATTATAATGTTCAAGTTATTAGAAAATATTTATTTTCATACACTGCAATAAATTAAATTCATGCCTTAGCTTATTCCGCAAAAACACGTTTAAAATTATGGCGAAACTTGCAGATATTTACACTGCATTGACAATAAAACTATCGAGAGGTAGTGAAATATATAGCAGTTATTATAGATGATCAAATTAAAGTATATATATAAATGACACTAACCTTCGCTTGCCCGAAATGTTACATTTTTCCAAGTCATGGAATTCGCTGCATCTGTAGATTTGGATAAAAACTTATAAAGGGTTTATGTCAAACAATCAATCCTGCTTATTCTACTTGTCGGAATATGCTACCGTTAATCAAATCAAAACAGGTCCTTGAGTGTTACGAGCTTCTGCAATCACTTGCAGCTCGGAATAAGGTAAGCCTTTACTGGGTTCCGGGCCACAGAGGAGTTTTGGGAAATGAAAAAGCTGATGAGCTAGCCAGAGCTGCATCAAAAGCTGCTTTTATAGGCCCTCAACCCTTTTGTGGAATAAACTGGGCCAGTACAAAACAGATTATTAAGGAAATGGAAAATTATATGCGGCTGGAGTACTGGGTAAACTTTCCAGGGCTCAGACAAAGCAAAGCACTGATAACACCGTAATCCTGTGACTGTCCAGCTTTATTAACGCACAGAAGAAACCTGTTTCATAAAGAATTTCTATCACCAGAACAGATTAAGAACTCTTCTCTAGATTTAGTTCTAGACTTTATCACAAAGCTTTAAGGGGCATTGTTTAATCAATAGTGAAACTGGTACAATAGGTCTCTTATGGCCGCAGTACCGGCTGTTGGGCAATTTTCACGTCTATTCTCTTAATAATAATAATAAAATGCTACCGTTAAAGCATAGGTAGCAGAATACTTAGTACTTCAGAAAGTAGACAAACCACAGATCTGCTAAAGTACAAAATGCCATTAACAACAGATTATAATATCGCAGTGAACTCGTGGTATTTCAAGTAATTTGTCACCATTATAGTAAATTCATCTATGCTTTTAAACGCTTCACTCATCGATGTTTATGTCGAAGTATCGGTCTAACTAATACCCATTTTGGAGCCTGTAGTTCAATATAAAACTATAGTTGCCTACCACAAAAGAAGTTAAGATAAACGGTCAAAGTCGTTACAATAACTTCCTCCCTAAACTTGTTTGCAATATTCTTATTATTGGTTAGTAGAAAAATTAAAAATGGACTGGTCTTTACGATTTGTATCACAACATATACGTCACACCTAAACAGCAGGTGCCTTTCACGTGATTTCGTCTTAACGGTTACTGCTTGAAAAGCTATAGGTGGTCGTAAGGTAAGTATGGAGACATTAGCAGTATTGGCCTGTACTGTTGTTAATATATTACCGTCATGAGGTAAGAGAAACTATTTTTTAAAAACAACACTTTAAACGAATTTATAATCCAAATGACAACTGTATACTGCATCCAACAAAATTAATTTATTGACACTCTGTTTTGTGTGCGACCGTCCCAAGTCCGTTTACACTATTCATAGCTAGTCATAGTTTTTAGACGGCGGCCCCATACCCATCACAATCTGGAATATATTTGATAAGATACAAAAAGAAAAGGAGAGGCTGAGGCGGAGCCGTCTCTACTTTAGAGAAAATAGATGCACATCTTACTTGATTGCATTAGTGATTCTGCCCTAAATAGACAGTGAGATATCAACAAATTACTGCTATCGCTTATATAATCTAACGAATCATTATATATATAAAGTCCCAAAAATATGACAACACAATCTTTATGTATACTTAAAGTATAATCTTTTTATCTATGGTAAATAGTGCTACAATTCAACTTTAATTCATTTTTGAAAGCGTTGTAAGTTTTTTTGCTGATCTCATTTCAATACTGAAATAAATACATAGTTTCTTATAATATTGCTGTAATTTACTTGGTATAATCTGTATTACTTGTAACTGCTCCATGACACACTTTAATGGTATTCTTAAGAAAATTAAAAAAATTTTGCAATAGAGTAGTGTATTTAATTATATTAATTAATTAAATATAATTAATGCATATAGTGCAAAATACAAAATATTCGTAGGTGCTAATTCTGGTTTAAAAACAGACACGAAACTCCTGAAAAATATCACCATATTGGAAATATAATATTTGCAAGAAAAAAACTAGACGCCAACACTTTCCAAACTAAGAAGATTGGAAACGCCGAACCCTCCCTACAAAATTAAAAGCAATTTAGAACTATTACAGATTTTCTAACTCTAATTACAGAGGATTCCTTTTCCTTCCACTTCACCTAACTATTTTATTAACTATTTTAACTATTTATTTTATTTACATTTTATTTTTTTTTTTAAAGATTACAACACAATAAATTAAAGAAAAAAATTTTTTAGGATTTATTTGATTTTTAATTTATTAATACTTCAAGAGAGCAAAAATAAATTTATTTTGTATAGATCTACGTTTTCACAATGTGTGCTTAGAGATTAGATTTTAAATCTGAATTATTTTGAATCTCAGATTACGAGTATCTATATGGAATCTTGAATATTGACCCAGCATATGTATGGAGATATAAGAACGTAACCTAAATAGTAAAATCTGTTTTGTGAAAGGAACAGCCTTCATAAAAATCTAGCTACAAGGTTTTGATGTTTTAACAAAATCAGCGGAGCTTAGTGTCATTACAGTCCAATTTAGATTGCAGTGATCTTTAAAGAAAGCCAATTAAATCCCTAGGAGTTAGATAGTATTTTCCCTACCATTATTATTACTTCTAAAACAAGTAATCGATACATGTAATCTGAGCATGCTTTTTCCTTTCTATTTTCAGACAACTTTATGGGATTGGTCTGTTATGGAACAAATTAAGTCAGATATAGTAGTCACTTTTTTACTGTCATGTCCTCTTTGTACTGAAACCTATTCACTCCTTTTAATAAACATTAAATTTTATTCCACAATATTGATTCCACAATACTAACCAAATTATTTTCATATTTTGAAAATTTTGTTAGGTAGAGTATAGGTTGGTTATAGGTTACTATGAGACGTAAGGTAAAGGTATGCCGTTGCGTCCTAGGGTAAAGTTATATAATAAACATATTATATGAAAAACATTCCCACTTTAACTGTTTGATGCGGAAGCATTTAAAAAATAATTAAATTTGTGATTCAGACTTTTTAAGTATATATAAAAATTTAATTAAACTTTAGTAACTTTCGCTGGAATGCCAGAAGTCGCGCAGAGACGCAACAAATAATTAAAATCCAAAGAGTTGCTGCCTGTTTTTTGGTTTTGTTTTATTTTTT